AGGAAGCCTTTGCAAAGATGCTAAAGCCTCCCATTGGCTGTAGGTTGTAGACCCAGATTTGCGATTGTTTCTGTACACCAAAAGGACTGTGGGACTTCTAATCTAAGGGACAGTCACAGACTTCAGTCAGACCCTCAAAGTGCTTTATCATTTTTTAAGATTGAACAGCACCTCTTTATCCTCTGTGATGCAATACTGACACCTATTGGATCTATTAGGAACATGGCTGTACAGAAATAATACCGAATATGCTGCACCATATTATATCAGTAGTGCATTGTAGTATTACTGTACCAGGACGAATGGCTAATAATTCCACGTTCCCTTGGTAGTAATCCCAATATTTCAGATGTAGGTGACACAAGTGCACAAATTCACAAAAAGAAAAACGAATATCTGTTTGTTTTTTTTTCCAGCTGGTAATTGTACCAGAAAATTATAAAAGAAAAACCAGGTTTACCTTAAGATGTAAAAAATGAAAAACAATAGTTTCTTTGTAATAAATAAAACCTATTAATTTTTTTAAGTAATTGAAGCCAAAAAATGACGTAATTTTGTATTGTATTTTCATTTTTTTTCCCCCCTGGCATACATTATTTGAAATTACATTTTTACTATCACTTCAATTTGCTCGTATGGTGCTGTCAAGTGTTACAATTTTTTTTTTAATTTTGTGTGTGTTTACATTGTCTAGTCTCATTTAATAAAAAGCCCACAAACCCTCTGTCTCCCCCTTGTCCTCTTCTGTCCCCCACAGCTGTTGTCCTCAGAGGAGAACTGCCACAGCACCCACTCCAGTCAGTCTGACAGCCAGTACGGGTCGCCCCCTAGAGGATGGTCCGAGGAGCTGGACGAACATGGGCACACGCTCTACGTGTCTGAATACACACAGGAGAAGGTGTGTGATAGTTTTTGACTTTGATTTGACGTTGGAGATGACTCGCCTCTGTGTGTTCACTTTAATTCTATTTTTTATTCCAGTGGATAAAGCATGTGGATGAACAGGGCCGGCCCTACTACTACAGTGCTGATGGATCCAGATCAGAATGGGAACTTCCTAAGGTCAGAGGATTTTTATATTTCTTACTCTTTATGATCTACTGTTACATAATTAAATGACACACTTGGCGTGATTCCTCCTCCTCCTCCTCCTCCTCCTCCTCCCTTTGGCGTGTGTTCCTAACACTGCTCCTGTTAAGTGGATGAGGAGCTTGCACAGGAGCCAAGTTAATGCTGACAAACTATTACTGGCTCTTAACATCTTAATCTGGAGGTATTAGAGTGGGTGGGAATAGGTGGCTCCATTCTCAAAGTGAATGGACGCTGACTCAGAAACAAAAACAGCTCAGGCTTCAGGTGAAGGTGACGTTTGGGGCCCAATGGTGCTGTGGACGGTCACAGGAGAGGTGGGAGAGAGGAAGGACGGCGAGCGCCTCCAGGACTCACGCTGATGTCTGAACTGCAGTTCTTCTCTCCTTTGTTGCAGTACAACATCTCTCCTCTGTCCAGCGAAGTTCCCAAGAGTCGGAGCCTGGAGAGGAAGCAGCAGGAGCCCATCGTCCTGACCAAGTGGAGACACAGCACCTACCTGTTAGACCTGAACGATAAGGTAGGACCAATTAGTTTTCAGTGTCATCATTTTGTCACAGTCTTTTACTACTTTCCCTATGGTAAAAAATACAGAGATAAAGCCTATCACATCATATACAATCACTAAGGTCCTTTTAAATATTTTTTTAATTTATTTTGACCTTTATTTTCCAAGGAAATCACATTTTCAGTTGTTTTGCATTGAAGAAAATCACCATTCAAAGAGAGTCCATCTCAAAGCATCACAGACTAAGTTTGCCTTATTCAATATTTGACATTTAAATGTAGAAATAAATCATCTCCTTACCAAAGGCAAATAAAATGTTAATATTGCCTTTTAGCATTAGATCTGTGTGTAACCTTTAGCATAAAAACCAACCAGAAGTATGGAAATGAAAGAATTAAAAAGTGGGTAAAAAAAAATCACTGCTTGAAAGTTGATCTTGACATTAAGGAGAAAAAAAGTTGTTTTTTTAAAACTCCTGGTTGTTTTGTTGCAGTTCCCATTCAAAGTGTGGCACTTCACTTCCATTTCACACAGGAGCAGATATAATCTCCCTCTTTCCAGAGATAATGTTGGTAACAACGTCAGCGTTTCAGGCTAGTTAGCAGATGATTTGTGTTGATTTATTTAGTGACTCGTATGTTGACTTAATTACAGGTAAATGATTAGCGTTGGCTCCTGTCTGACCTTGAAATAACCAAATGACATTTACACACGTTTCCTTCTCAGGAGCATGATAACAATTTTTTTCTGCCTTAATCTGTCATTCACTAACCCTGATTCCTAATCCTTTCTCCCCGTCGCTGACATCACGGCGGTCGTCGACCTGTAGTTACCATAAGACTTTCTTAGAAACTCTGTGTCTTGTGCCTCTTGTTGGTAGGAAAGTGCCCCAGCGCCCAAGCAGAGCTCTCCAGATTCTGATTCCTGCCCCTCATCTCCTAAGCACCCCTCAACTGTTAGTATCCCAGCTTGCACTTCACCGCACTTTCCATCACCTGTGTCCAAATACGACGGTTCCTACGTATATTTTTTAACCATTTTAATTTTTCATTCTCAACTCTAATAAATCGCATGCCTGACGTCACACTGAGTCACACGTAACAATTAAGCATGAAAACGTTTTAACCAGCACATACTGCATGTAGTTGCTTCTACTGTTGATGTGTCGCCCTCTGTTGGTCAGATTCGGCTAGAACATGATCCAGCCTGCACAAATATACAGGGGCACTCTAAGTCAAAAAGTCACTTATCAAACTTATGAAGATGTCAAAGTTTGATAACAGAACCATGTTAAGACAATTAAGACAAGTTTTATCTTTATATATTGATTGATTTTTTTTAAAAATCAAAAACGTTTTAAAATATCATTTGATCAGATTTGATTTTTTCTTTACAGCCTTCAGAGAAGTGTGGAGTCCTCAATGTGACCAAAATCACAGAAAATGGAAAGAAAGTCAGGTAATTATTTTGTTTTAAAGTTGGCTTTTCTTTTGTTCTGCCGTATCTGAAGTATCAACATCGATGTGTGAATGTGTCATGTTGTCTTTCGTTTTTTAACCAACAGGAAGAACTGGACCTCCTCGTGGACCGTACTTCAGGGTTCCTCCCTCCTTTTTGCCAAGGGTCAGGGGGGCAGCACAAGCTGGGTAGGCATCCCATCAGCCACCGGGGCACTGTTGTTTCAGCTTCCTTTTCGTCATACTCTGTCATCGCTGTTACCTTCCTCGTTTCCACATCCATCGTCAGCTCTCTTCATTGTGCTGCGATGTTTGTCATCCACTGTTTTTATTTCCTTTCTCTCCCACATTTCGTCCTCGAAGTCTTACTACCGCAGCGGCTCCATCCCAGAGCTGCTCCTCACTCTGCTGAGCAGCTGGAAGCGCTCAGTCAAGCCTCGTCCTGCTGTCTCCTATGTGAACTGTAGGCCTGTGCAGGCTGCTGTATGTCCCTTCTCTCTGCACGTGTTGCTCCTCCTGCCTGTCTTTCATTATTTCTTCACTGACAGACACTGATGGTTTTGTGTGTGTCGTCACTGAGTTTTCTCTACTGGAAACAGAGGCCTTAAAATGACTAATCATTATTACTAAATTATATTAATTATCATTGACATAATGATCTTTAACGGCATACGTTCTAGCTCCAGGAGTTAGTAGAAACCGAGGTAATACAAAAAAAGTTTGAGTCATTATCAACTGAAAAAAAATGAAGAGATTTGAGTTTCAAAAATAGCCCTCAGAATAAAAAAAACAGGAAACAAGTGAATTATATTATTATTATTATTATTATATTTATACATAAAGAGAAAATATTACGCAAGCTCTCACAGTTTGACCTTTAGTGGCACGGTGGTATTACCGACCTATGTCTTAAGCTGAAGTTTGGAAACTGAAAAACTACATACTGTCTATTCATTAAAAAAAACATGACTTTGCTTTCTTAGGTGGAAGCAAAAATACTTTTTATAGCTCACCTTTGGCTTTTGAAATATACTGTATGTTGTTCAGATGTTCAGTACTCATTCAGGATATATAAAGTACTAGAGTTTATTGTTTCCTGAAGTTAGAGTGAGGGTTAGTCACTAATTGTGAATTTTGTTTGAGGTTCTAAACAAAGGCACTGACGCCCGGTAATGTGCATGAGAATAAACAAACCACAACTAACTGTGAAAATCTGTTGGTATAACCTGACATGCAAGATGAGTTTGTTTTTGTAGATGAAGCGTGTGTGTGTGTGTGTGTGTGTGTGTAAGGTTATGGTTTTTAAGCAGTAGTCTAAAATCTCCCTGTAATGTATGTGTGCGTTCCATTTCTCATTCTCGTCCATTGTTCTCAGAAGTTCGGCAGCAACCAATCCAAGCCGGAGTTCACCGTCGATCTGCGAGGAGGCTCCGTGGACTGGGCGTCCAAGGACAAGTCCAGTAAGAAGCACGTCATCGAGGTAAATCCTGGCAGGAAACATTTACCAGTTTTAAAGATGAGGATTAAAAAAATAAAAATAAATATTTCAACGATGTGAGTTTTTTCCTCCCACAGCTCAAAACACGTCAGGGGACGGAGCTGCTGATTCAATCAGAGATTGACAGCGTCATCAACGACTGGTTCAGGGCCCTCACAGAGACCATCAACACACATGTGAGGAAATATTTGTACATTCATAACAATTAGAAGGGCTAAAATGGCACTTCTTTATGGAGTGATTTGCTGAACTTTTGGCATCATAATCATAATCATAATCTGATACTTACCATGATACTGCACATCGGTACCATAGGCACAGCGATATATTGAGAGGCTTTTTTAAATAATTTATTTGGAGGAATGATGTCAGGTAACTAGAACTGGAACAGAGAGATGTAAATCACTAGAGAAAAAATAACAGCATTTGCAGGATTTTCTTTGGATAAATAAAATTAAAGAAATAAGACTCAAAATCTCAAGTTGTTGGAGGTTTTAATGCAACACAGAAATGAACCAACTCCATGAATATTTGCACATTCATTGTACATGAAAAATCAGTACAGTACTGTACTGTAGAATACCTATATGGTATTGTGAAATGAAGTATTGTAATATTTCAATATATCAATTTTCTTGATTTTCTTACACCCCTACTGAAATGTCTAAACAAAAGTAAATTACCATAAACAACCAGGTCTAAGTCCAGCTAATGTCTGCTCTTCCAAACACCATCAGTTCACTACATATATTTATCATCGTCCTCAGTCAGAACAGATAAAGTCAGAGTTGACATTTGTGTAGACGCAAACCATGGAGGTTGACAGGGTGACGGTTAAACTAAATGGATCAAAAAGGCAACTTAGTTTTGTACACCATTGTACTGAGGTCGTACTACAGACACTGTGATACACACAAATATACTGTATATATATATATATATATGTATATAGGTTGCCAAGACTGTGGGAGAGTTTTCAGATTCATCCACCGTCTACATTTAGAGCCATAATTTAATCCATTTTTTACAGAAAGTCTTAAATAACAGTAAATGATGGATGATTCAGTTTGAGGTGGTCCGTATATCACTTTCTAATTGAACAATTCATCAATAATACAGTCCAAAGGAAATATATGATCCAAGCAGTATTGTTTCTTCTCCGCTGCCAAAAAAAAAAACTCAATAAGTGTAAACCTAGACTTTTATATTTTCAAAATAAGAAAAATGAAATTGGAAAGCACGGTGCACTGCCAAACACCCAGAAACCCTCACTGTAACTATTAGTATAATGTTAGGTGATGTCAGTGCATGAAATCATACCAATGTTCCTGATTTTGTCCAGGCCTGGGAGTCGGACGAGGCCATCGAGGAGGACATGCCTGAGTCTCCTGGAACTGAGAAACAAGACAAGGAGAAGGAGAAGGAGCACAGGGACTCCAAGAAGAACAGAGGTGAGGTGGTCTGTCACTCACATCAGAGTTTACAAAACCAACACGCTCTACATTGGAGTTATGTATTCAGAAAAGGGACACTGTACTGTTAGATTAGAAAACATAGGCCTTTCCTGTTAGCTTCCACCACACAGGAGAGATGTTCAGAAATGTTCATGAAGATGTTTATGTTTAAATGTTCTATTAATTGTGCATGGTATGTTTCAAATTTATTCAATTGAAAATGTAAATTTTCTCCATGTACCACTGGTGGTACGTGTACCACAGTTTGAGAATCACTGCTCTAATCTGTCTGTTCTACTTCTGCAGTACTATTGGTTGTTAGACATGTAATCGGCAACACTTTAAAGAACATGCTTCGACACATACAGATGCTCACCGACGCTCGTGCCGTTCTTCTCATATTTAATATATGTTAGCGATGTATTTTACATGCTCTCGTCATGCATATTTAAAGGCAGGTTGCATATATTTCTTTAGGTTTTTTTTTTTTTGTCTTATTGTCTCATCCTGCTTGTCCTCCCTCAGTGATGAAGCCTTCCCTGAGCATGGACAACTCCGATCAGAAGAAAACCAGGCTGAAACTCAAGAAGTTCCTCACGCGTCGACCCACGTATCAGGCCGTCAGAGACAAAGGCTACATCAAAGGTAGTCAGACGGGACACTGTGGGTCAACACGGACTGGTCAGTCACTGGTCAGTCACTGCAGACAGATAACATGTGTTTGTGCTGATTTACAGATCAGGTGTTTGGATGCAGCCTGATCAGCCTGTGCCAGCGGGAAAACACGTCGGTGCCCAACTTTGTCAAAATGTGCATCGATCATGTGGAGAACACAGGTGGGAAACATGTTACTATGACTAACTGTCAGTACTTGGTCACATGACACTGTCACACAAAAGAGCTCAGGTTTTACAGCCAACCGTCAGCCGAGATCTGTGGAGTGTTTTTATTGTATAATTTAATGGTAACAATTATTAGACTGGCAGGGTTATTTAGGAGCTCTTGGTTTTTGGAGTAGGCAGGATGTGGGGCTACTATAAATCTGCCCATCCTTGTTATTACAGCCGTCACCTGTAATAAATCCACCAGCAGTGATGTAAACAGATGAGTCTTTGTCTGGTTTAATACACACAGTGTTAAATTAAAGTGAATGAAGTTCATCATTTTCAGTTATAGCGAAGTAACATTTTACTAATGTGCATTATGGGAGATGTAGTTTTTTATGTCATACACCACTGCGTTCAGTCCACCCTGTAAACATTAGTATAGACTCTGTACTGTAATGTTTTACTTCAATAGCTCTGGTGGGCTACATAAAATAACTTGGTGGGCTGGATTCGGCCCGCGAGCCATGTGTTTGAAATATGTGATTTAGAGTATCAAGCAAAAGAAGGAAGTCACTGCATGATACGTTACACTTCACAGCTACTTCTCAGCCTGGGGTTATTTGCTGGTCGTGACTTTATAGATTTATATTCAGAACGAGTTTGGATAAAATACGAATATGCGAACGAAGATACAGAGAAGTTTAATTGGACGAACTCTTGATTAAACAACTATCTATGGAGCGTGTTAGTCATTTTCTCCGCTGTCTGCTTATGATTTGGTAAATTACTTTTTTTTTTTAACGACGTTCAGTATCTCCAGTTAATGTAAAGATGAAGTACAATCATTTTTCCTGCTCCTTTATAATAAAGACTTATCAGGTGATTATTTCCACCGTAGGAGTCAAAATGCTCGACTGTGTTCTGTGTTGAAGAGTGCGGTTATCTTTGACCTTTCTGTTGTTGCTCCTCTTTTCATTTGACTTGACATCTCCTCTCTTTTGAACATCACCCTCGGCGTGGTCGTCCTCAGGTCTGAGTGTTGATGGGCTGTACAGAGTGAGTGGAAACCTGGCGGTCATACAGAAGCTGCGCTTTGCTGTGAATCACGGTAAGGAGTTCCACCCCTGATATATTATGCCAATATCCTGGTGTTTGTCATGACTTTTGTTAACTAAAACCATAATAATCTAATCCGCCGTTGTCCCCCGTTAGATGAAAAGCTGGACTTGAACGACAGCAAGTGGGAGGACATTCACGTCACCACCGGAGCTCTCAAGATGTTCTTCAGAGAACTTCCTGAGCCGCTCTTCACATACGGGTCTTTTAATGACTTTGTCAACGCCATCAGTGAGTACTGTCCCATTACAACTGCTGTGACGTCATAAAAGCCACCAGGTTCACCCAAAAAAAAAGTCCTTTTTGGCCACGAGATGGTGCTGTGCGTTAGTACATTGACTGTATTGTCTGCCCTACAGAAGGCACGGACTACAAGCAGCGGCTGAATTCCATCAAAGACTTAATCAAAAAGTTGCCAAAACCGAACCACGACACAATGCAGAGTCTCTTCAAACACCTGCGGAGGTAAGAGCACAGTCAGAATACATTATTCTACTATAGGAGTGTCGCAATAAAAATATAAAACAACAAACTACCACGTAAAACTGCACCCATGTGGACCAGTACCTGCCTCCTGTGTAGTACTGCATATGCAATATTTTTGATTTCATGCTGACAGTTATTTAGGTTTCACTGTGTTTCTCTTCATTGCTGTTGACTTTTTTTTCTGGTAAAGTATAAAAACATGCATAATATTAAAGTTCATATATACAGTATATATGTCAAATACTGATGTTATATCATTTAAAAAGATGGTTTCCTGTGTTTAACATTTGCAAAATTTGCAATTTCTAAAAAATGATTTGCGATTTAACATCAGATTAGCTTCACGGAGAAAAGTTTCCGAGCAGTGACCTGTTATTAAGTCTAGCCCGCAGTCCTTTTCCTCTTTGACGTCCAGTTTACTGAACTAATAAATGCACAAAAAATCACATTAAAATTTAAAATCTCCCCTCTGACATTTTTGTTGGTATGTATCATGAATATTTTCATGTGGTCAAAGTCAAAGTAAAACGCTGTGGTTGCCTGAATTTTCTCTCTTCCTTTTTTGTTTTTAATCAAAAAGCATTACCATCACCTGTGATTAGTGGAGACTGATTATGAGCAAACAAGACACAACGGCCTGCAGACAAACACGCTGCTTCCCTGCTTTAACGTTCTTTTTCAGCTCACAGCAGCCGCCACTCACATCATATGTTCACAATGACATTTGCCTGGGTTTGTAATTTGCATTTATATGGAGCAGTGTTGCTGTATTTCAGTCCTGTGTGAGGTGTTGTTTCTTCAGGAAATTTACAGCGTGACATTCAGTGCGTGGAAGTCTGCGTGTATTTAGATATATTTATATATATACACATATATCAGCGGGCAGATTTAATCTCCGTTTTCTTCTCCGTATGAATATGTTATTGTTTTTTTCTTTGCATCTGCATATGAGGATGTAGAATCTATTTAAAAAGGCTATTATGCTCCTGCCTGGAGCGGTGTTTTCTGCCGCGCGGCTCAGTCTCGCACTTCATCGCAGGCATTAAAGATGTATGTTTAAAACAACCTAATGTTGTTTGATCTGTACAGAAAACAAAAGAACTGGGTTTTTTTGTTTTTTTTTTTTGCGTCATTCAAATTAAAAAAAAAAACCCAACCAACCAAACAAAAAAAATCTCTCTACATTTGATTCTTGTCTTGTGTTCTCCCCGACCCCCACAGGGTGATTGACCACGGCGAGGCCAACCGCATGACCACCCAGAGCGTGGCCATCGTGTTTGGACCCACGCTGCTGCGGCCTGAGACCGAGACGGGCAACATTGCAGTCCACATGGTGTACCAGAACCAGATAGTGGAGCTTATTCTCATCGAGTACGAGAGCATTTTTGAGAGGTAGAGGCACTGGTGAGGTGATGCTGGGCTTTTCCAACCACTGGCTTATTTTCCTTTAAGTCTTTCTTTTGTCTTTGACTAAAGCTGAATGACGTTGTGGACCAAGTTGTTTGGCGTAAAATGTCCGTATTTTCACTCGGTTGACAAGGGTGTTGCACTTACAGACGTTCTAAGGATGAATTTAAAAGAAAAAAAAAACAAAAAAAAAGAAGTGTAAAGATTTCTCCTACAGCCGTTTGGATGATAAACAGTATTTTTTTTTTCGGTGCCACCTTGATTTTTGTGAATTTGAGTGTTCACACTGGATTCTTGTGGCCAGTATTTCAAACCTCAGAGAGCAGCAGGTGGCGCTCTTTTATTCTCAATGGGACCGGACCGCGCTGCTTCTTTGGCACCAGAAGGATGAACAGGTGACCTCTTTGCCTCTCCTGAGGAACGAGCTCATCCTGAGCTGGAGATATTTTCTTCTTCGTTGTACAGCTGTGTCTGTGACTTTGTCAGCCCTGTTGGGTTTTTGGATCAGGTCGAGAGAGAAAAATAAAGAAGATCAGTGTTATGTAATAGGACTTGGCTTTTGGCACTTGGACAAACTGGAGCTGCACACCGATACAATCCCTCTCCCTCACCCCTCACTCCCCCCCCCCCCNNNCCCCTCTGAACAGTATTAACCATTAACCCCGTGACTTGAATGACAGAAGCCTCTGTGTGTGTGTGAGAGAGAACTTGTGTGTGTATGAGCGTGTTTAATTAATTAAAAAAGTAAATGGAATAAACGTTGAGCAGAAGCATCCTCGTCCTGTCACTGCGTGCAAACAGTGTTGTGTTGTCCTAAAATACTCTGCAGTTCCGCCGAACCGCCTGCAGGGTTTTCTCCTCACTTGTGGTCTGTGCTCTGTTCTGAACCTCAGTGTAAGTGTCTGCAGTGGCGGGAATCGAACAGTGTTACTGGAAAACATCTCAAGTCCATTTCTGGGAACTGCAACATTAAGCATTTCACGTCTGATGACCTCTCTCCTCACCTTTGCTAATAAGGCAGGGCGCGCGGAGAAGGCGAAGGGTAACGATTTTATGTGTGTGCGCGTGTGCGTGTGTACGTCTTGGCGATATGGAAACTCTTTCAGCCTCAACATGTCGTCGTTAAATAATGTGCTCTAGTGACTGAGGTGTGTCTGCTTTGGTGATGAGGGAAAAAAACAAAACAAAAACAAAACTCGTGGCTGACTGTTACGTCTGTCTGAAGGTGTACGTGGTGTGTGTTTGCGCATGGTCGGCTGCACATTTTGAATGTACTTTTCAAGCTAACTGCTGTTTGTGAATCTGCTATGTCTAATAAAAGAGGAAAAGAGAAACGGGAGGCCCGAGTGTTCTCTGTGTGGATGGAGACGACGCGGCACATCAGCCTGGTAACCTTCAGCCTAATGAAAAGCTTCACCTCTCCCTCGGCTTTAACTACATAATTGAATTAATCTACCCAGTGCTGATATCCTGCTTATTGGATTGAGTGATTAAGTTTTTACATCTCAATCAATTATATTCCTACCTGTTAATTACCAAATGAATTCCACTATATTTTCCAGAGTTTTTTTTTTTTTACCTCAAATGCAGCATGGCCTCCATTAATGTGATTCTGTTCCTTGAAGGCCTTTTTCTCGCTGCTCTGCAGGTCAGACGTGGCAGCGCACTCGAAGACTGTGGATTAATTGATGGCTAATTAGATAATTGCTACAGTGCCAGTTTTGATTAAGGAGCGTGCAGTGTTCTGGCGGATGAGGAAGGCTGTGAGCTGCAGGACGCTCGCAGGAGAAGATGATAAAATGATGAACTCTGTCTGTGACAGAATCTGATGTTTAAGGTTTTTTTTTTTCCTCCAGCATTCCTCTTGGAACAGTGTGGCTCTCACAAGGTCAAAAAATATTGATAAGTTCTTCTGTCCATTATTGTCAGTTAGATCAGTCAAAGCTACAGCACCAAATGTGTTGGTTTCCCTTTTTTTTCCTAGTGAAATTCACCCTAAGCTAATGAAGCTAATGAGCTAATGAGATGAAGGGAAGGAACATGCAAAATAAACATGTCAGGAAAGTTGTCCCATAATAATCTAAAATTAGGGAGCAGTAGAGACTGTTGGGAGAGAGGGGATTTCTTGGTACTTGCTTGAAACACCACAGTCTACAGGGTTTGGGATTCAAACCTGCAACCTTTTTGTAATGAGTCCATTTCTCTTACCACTAGGGTGGCTAGTGGTAACATGGTTCACGGGGCAGAGGATGTTTCAGATATTAAGCATTATTATTATTATTATTATTATTATTATTATTAATAGTAGTAGTAGTTTCACCTGGTACCTTTTGCAATGTAAACCTTAACACTGCTGTTGACTGAGTACAGCTAACGATCTTAAAGGACCAGCAGCAGACATTGTATTGAGTTTCATCCTTAGCTAACATCCTCGATGAAGCTGTTCAGTCTGCGTGCTTCAAATCTGACTGATGATCCATGAGTCTGACTCTAAAGGACCTCTGAAGATTTTAAGAATATCAATAATATTTTAATGTCTGGGTGCGGTGTCACAATGTCACCATTTAAACCTTCACATTTGTCACCAACAAATGTAATAATCTGCAACATGGTCTGTTTTCGTTTAGCGGTTTGTTTCTTATCATCAGTCAGATGTATGTCATCCAGATGCTGCTCAGCCCAGTTTAAGGGTCAGGGGAAAGCTGGAGCCAATCCCAGCTAATGCAGTGCCAATGTCAGAGTGACACCTTGGACAGGTCGCCGTGAGTGCTAGGTTAAAGATTTTAAATTTACATATTTACAGAAAATCAATCAAATATATTAAGTGAGAGAGAATGTCTGGTTCCTGCCCTCGGTTTGTCATTGATGGAAACTGCAGCTTCATCAGGATATGGAATAAAAGTCACAGGTTCTGTGAACCAGACTATTCATCCTTCTAGCAACAACACTAATATGCTCAGACTAATAGTACCTCTGGTAAACTTTACTTTGGAAACTAAAAAAGTACACTATCAACTCTAGGTTCTTTCTCTGCACACTTTTTCTGGTGATCCATTAGCTGGAGCTAATGAGTAGCACCTAGCAACCGTTATTTCAATTTAATTTTTAATAACTGAGCAGAAGTTCATTACATATTGATATGTTTGTGGCTCACATTACGGCTCTGGCTTCTCAAACTGAGATGTGTTATTTTCCTGTGAGTAAAATGGGTTCCTTAACATTAAACTTGAAAGAAAATTAAATTTGGAAACAACACTTTTGATGATTGTGAAAAGATCTGATCTAAGATCCTGTTCACTACTTACCTGGTTCAGTTTTTCTGTCATTTCAGGAATGTGAACTTATCACCCACTGCTCTTTTTCTCTATTTTCTTTTCTTTCCTTTTTTTAATGACGGTTAATGTAGCGTGTTTAATGGCGGAACGTCCTATTATCAAAACCCACCGCTCTTTGAAGTCCAGCTAAACCCCCTCCCCTTGTGCCTCCCCGACATTTTACGGCAACAGTTCTGATTTATACCTCAGCCTAATCTGTGTTTTGATTGGTTGGACCACCTAGGACCTGACAAACGTTGGAGGTGGGCAGTGTTAAATCACGAGCACTGCCGAAAACCACAGGCTGTTAAAAGTGAGACACCGAGGGGGTGGGCCCCCAGAATTTCCAAATGAGAAAACAATTAGATCATTTCTATAATTCATAGGTGTGACCGCAGCTCAGGGCCGGGAGCCTCTGAGTGTTTGAAGTGCTCCATATGCTCGCAGTGGTTTTCAGGCCTGATCGGTTCAGTGCTGGCCCACGCCGCTCCGCGGAGGCTGAGGTGTGGGCAGGTAATGGGAACGAGCCATTACACAGCATAAAAGATTAATGGAACAGTGCCCCCCACCACCACCACCACCACCCATGCTGCCTCACCCCGTGCTTCATTTGCAGGTGGGCTGTCAGTCTATAGATGTGAACAAAATGGTTGTGAAGGGGTTTTTTCTGTAGTGAAACCCTTTGTACTTATCCATTGTTTTTGTTTTGAACTCAGTGCAATCTAAACTAAAGTTGTGCTAGGCTAAGCTAAGTCATGATACTTTTCTATATGTCCTGTATAAAGTACCTTTATAGTCACCCTGATATGATTCAATGTTTATATATTTTCTGTTTGCCGCACACAAGCTAGTAGTTTGCAGAACGAACTGATGCTAAGCTAAAGCAAGATACTCTTACATCAGACGTGTTGTTGATTCCCTCCTGGTTTCACAGCAACCATAAAATACTTTCTGTAGGTGTCACGCAAACTAGTAAATTAAATGAATTATTCTGTTTCAAATGCATATTTTGTATTTGCTAGGACGTAGTTTGTGTTTATATGAGTCATCACCTGTCTTAAATGATATTCTCTTAACGTAACTTGTACCCCAACTACAACTGTAGATTATACTTGAGTTAATACATCACTATTCTAATGGATTAGGATCAGAGAAAAAACATTCAAACTCAGTCCAGGATTCAGTCTGGAATAATTGTGTTGTATATGTTTTAGTGTCAGTATCAGTAGAGCAAATCTTAAGTGTAGTTCAAATTGGAGACATTTTTTTTTTTCATGAAACATCAAGGACATCTGTTTCTTTGTACGGGCAATTAAATTAAGAGATATGCGTTATTACCTGCACATAAAATGTCAGAATAGTTGGTCTTTTAATGCAGCTTTTTAACACAAGCAACCTGTTAGCTTTTTGACTTTTTTTTTTTTAATGAGAGCCAGATGCCAAAAAAGCTCTGCTGCTGTACTGCATTGGCTACATTGTTTCCTAGTTTAGCATGCTAGCAGGATATCTTAAGTCGAACTTCATCGAGCCTTCATCCAGTTTTAAAATTACCATCCACCATGCAATAAAGTATTACAAGTCGAAGAGCAAAAGCGGTTGGACTTTGTGTTTGATTGACAGGTTAAAATGGCCAGTTTCAGACAAAACAAAAAGCCAACACATCTTCATCTTCTCAGACAGTGAAGTACAATGTGATGCTGGATCCGTTCGGATGTCATAAAGATGTATTTGTTTCCTTGGTGCCTTCTGTACTGTCCTTGCTATTTATGCAAATCTGATATTTACAGTGACTTTATGAAAATGTGCATACATCATGCAGGAAACCAATGTATGAAACAGGCTGGGGTTATTAAAAAGCACTCTTTCATCATCCACACCTACACCTCCGGCCCTGCGGTGTACCTGCAGAAATATTTAGATATAAGAGTGAACTACAGAGTGAGCAGAGCATCTCTCTAACTGAATCTACTTTTCTTTCTGAATAGGAATGGGCTTAAGATTAAAATTATTTTTAATTTAAACTAATACCACATGACAGATGTACACCTAAAATTTCAAATAACTAGATAATTACATTACGTATAAATAAACATGAACAATAAGGATTTAATAAAACACATCAACAACAACAATAATAAAAACACAAAATAATAATATTAATAAAATAATATAATATTAAAATATTTGTGAATGCTAAATGAAAAATAATATGAATATTTTTTCAAAATGAAAACTTGCACTTTTTTTCAAGTGGCTGTAAGACGAGTGGGCATATCATTTTTACAGTATTGTTTGTGTAATTAAACAGCACAATGTAGGATTTGGCATCATCTAGTGGTAAAGATATTTGGCATTTCACAAGCTTCACTTCCTTTAAGCAAATGGCAGCATTTCCTGTCTCTAAATTAAAGACTAGAATCACTTCTAAATAGTTTCCTGTTTCCTGAATAATATAGTGCGCATGCTTCAGGTCTAAGCCTAACCTTTTTAAAAGTGCTTGCTTACCTGCAGTGTATTGCAGTTACAGTACAGGGAGTCTGTGAGTATCTCTAAATGTCAGTGTAGCTTGTTGTCGTTATTAATGATTTTTTTTAGGCGGCGAGAGTAAATCACTTACCATGGAAATTCAATGCATTTTAAATAGCGGTGGATCAACATACCAAACCAGGATTTATACAAGGTACTTGCAGGATGCTGAAAGTACTTTCTTACAGGCAGTAGATTTTGTTCGCTACCTCCTTACCTTCAGTAATACAATTAAGTCCATTAAGTGGGCAATAAATACAAGGCAGGACTGTATCAGCGCTTTGTGACAGGTAAAGGCTCCTCGGCAGAATATATTTTTATTTACCTCTGGACAAACACACACACTCACACACACACACCTCTAAGGTCTAATCTGGCTCTCTCCTCACCTGCTGCATTAGAATTAAGACGTCTGACAGTTGTTCCTCCTGCTGTGATTGAGTGTTGAACAGTGCTGGCAGCCGCAGAGACGAGACGTTGTGTACACTTCTCTG